GTGAAATGAATCAAACACATATGTATAAATACCACATTGTTTCTCAGGTGTGAAGAAACCTAAAGTGGAAATAAGGACTACAAATGTACAACGGATATGGGAAAATGGGAAGAAAATGTTCAAATGGGAAGGGGAACAAGGGAGGAAGAAGAGAGAAAGGAAGGAAGGGACAAGGAAAAAAAAGTGAAAACAGAAAAAATGGAAACAAAGCTTTTGTATATAGGGAGGGGAGGGCACTTGGGAGGGGAAAGGAGGCAAGAGGTATCATGTACAGGTGCAAACTCCCTACAATGAATACTATCATTATGTACACCTAAAATGTACTAATAAATGTTTTGCTACTAAAAATAAATATTTAATAAAAAAGTCAAGGGAACTTGGGTTCCTCATAAAAAAATACTAAGGATAACACAGATGTGGAGAAAGGCAACACTTGCACACTGTTGGGAATAAAATTAGTACAGTCACTGTGGAAAAAAGGATGGAGTTTCTTCAAAAATTAAACCTATCAATACCATGAGTCAGCGACCCCACTCCTGGATATACGTCCAAAGGAAATGAAATCAGTCCAGGCTTCTGCATTCCCATGTTCACTGTGGCACGAGTCATGGAGCCAAAAAATGGAAATCACTGAAGGGTCTCTCAGTTTATGAATGGATTAACAATGTGGCACACAGACACAATGGAGTACTGCTGAGCAATTCAATCAAGTGGAATACTGTCACTTGCAGCAGCATAAGTGAGACTGGAGACTATCATGCTAAGTGAAAGAAGCTGGGTGCAGAAAGACAAGAAGTCTTGCATGATCTCACCCGTATATGGAATCTGAGAAAGTTGGTTTCCTGTAACTCTAGAATACAATGGTGGTTACCACTGTAGGAAGGAAGAGTAGGGAGAGCTTGAGCAGTAAGTTACAGTTAGGAGTAAGGAGTTCCGATGTGCCATGGCCCTGTACAGTGACTAGAGATAACAATAATGTACTGCATATTTCAAAAAGCTAGAAGAAAGGATTCTGAAAATTTCTGCCATAAAGAAACAGGTAAGTATGCTTAACCAGAATCATACATTAGGCAATATATACATGTATTGCAACATTACATGGTATCCCATTAAATATAAATATTTATGGTTATTTTATAAAGTATTTTTTTTGTTTGTGATACCAGAGACTGAACTCAGAGCTTTGCACACACTAAACAAGTGCTCTAACACTGAAATAATTTCTTTTTGGTACTGGAGATCGAACTTGGATCCTTATGCTTGTGAGGCAGGCGGCAGAACCACTGAGCCAAATCCCCAGTCCTATTCCTTGGCTTTTATTTTTTTTTTTTTTGAGACAATGTCTAGCTAATTTGCTGAGGCTAGCCTTGAATTTAAGTTCCTGCAGCCTCAGCCTCCTGACTTGTTAGGAGTACAGGTATGTACCACTGTGCTGAGTAACTTTCTTTTTATGTATCAGTTAAATGCTTTTTTAAGACTGAAGATGTAGCTGTGGATTTAGCTCAGTGGCACCGCGCCTGCCTTGTAAGCCCAAGGTCCTGAGTTCTATGCCCTGTACCGCAAAAAAAAAAAAAAAAAGACTGAAGATGTAGCTCATCCATAGAGCACTTGCCTAGTATGCTCAAAATGCTGGATTTGATCCCCAGCACTGCCAAAAAAAAAGATAAAAATTCTATACATTTTTTTTTAAAGTTAAAAGAAACAAGAAAGAAGAAAGTAAAGACAAAGGCAGGTATCAGTGAACTACAAAAATGAAAACTAAGGAAAAAAACAAAAGCTATTCTTTTAGTGTTACTAATCTTACTAAATAAAAGGTTTGGCTAAATAAGATTAAAGATAAGAAAATTTAGATAAAATGTGAAATAAAATATAAATAATCACAGACAAGGAAAGATTTTTAAACGTAAGGTAAGTTTGGAAGAAATGGACAAGTTCATAGAAAATGTCAAAATTGTTTTAAAAAAAAGAAGTATGTTTTAGGGCTGGGAATTTAGCTCAGTGGTTATATATATATATGCATATGCATATAGATAAGAGAGATAGATAGGTATTTTATGTCAACAGATTTGCAACAGACTGACGTTTTCCTTTCTAAAAAATGGTAGCCCAGATTGTTTTTCAGATAAGTTCAATGAACCTTTAAGTAACATTTCCTGTCTTATATAAGTTATTCTAAAAATTAGAAAAGAACAAAAGCTACTTAGCCCATTTTATAAAACTTACATAATCTTATTCCCAACACTAAGAATAAGACAGGAAGAGAATAGTCTTATTTTACTAATGTATACAAGTGCAAAAATTCTAAGTATTGGAGCCAGGGATTTAGCTCAGTGGTTCCTCACAAGCAAAAGGTCCTGAGTTCAATCTCCAGTAAAAAAAATTCTAAGTATTGAATTGGATAAACAAATACAGTAGTATATTAAAAAACAATCCTAATGTAGTAGAGCTTTTCCCAGGAAGATCTAACATCTGAAAGCTAAACCAGAAATTTAAATATGAATAGGCCAAACCAAAATAGAAAAAGGACCAAACTTCATTGGCACCAAAGGTTCCGATGGTAAGTCAAGATAATTTATAGTTAAGTCTTTAAAAATATATTTTCAAAATGAATCGGGGGACATCAGTGGATCCACTGCTTGCCTTGCAAGCGTAAGGTCCCTTCCCAAGTTTGATCCCTGGTACCAAAAAAAAAAAAAAAAAGATTCAGGAGTGGTGGTGCACACCTATAATTCCAGCACAAATATGTTTTGTTTTCTGGCAACCCTCTCAAAAAATCCGAGGTGATACAGACAGCTGTGATGTAGACATCGAACAGACCTTAAAATGACCATGAAGTATCACTATACCTGATTTCTTACAGGCAAACAAATATTCAAATGATCTAGAATCCATATTTCTGTTCTTTAAAAATTTGAAGACACAACTTCACCTCTGTCTATATCCTGAGACAGGCTCCTGTCTAAAAAGGGTATCCTCAAATTCTTTCATTTTTTACTAACTCTAATTTTACCATTTTACCATTTTGCTTCTTTCCTTTTTCTGGAAACAGGGTCTTACTATGTAGTTCAGACTGGCCTTGAACTCACTATGCAGCCCAGGATGGGCTTCAACTCATGACGATCTTCCTGCCTCAGTCTCCCGGGTGCTGGGATTACAGGTGGGTGCCCCCAGCTACCATTTTTTTCACAACTGTTTGGAAAGCATAATTAATGGAGGAAAGTAAATTTTTACTTTACTATATATAAGATGTCAAAATTGGTTTTGTTTCTTATGAAATTCTGAAATGAATATATTGTTAGAAATTTTATTTCTAGTTTTGTAAAAATGATAAAGAACTGAAGCTCAGATTCTTTGAAGTTTCTTAGAATTGCAGCTAATAGGCTTATTATATATTATATGGATACCATTACAATATAACCCATTTAACATTAGGTATTATATATTATATACATTATATATGTGGGTAATACATTATATACATTATATATTAAAAACATTATCCCTATATTATAGGGTTATTATTCTAATAAAGCTAACATCTTACAGCAATGAAAGAAGTGTTCTCAGAAAGAAAAAATGGGAGCATCCTGCAAATATGTGTGGTATTCATCCCTGTGGGATATTGCTTTCCCTCCTTTGTAATTTTTCAAAATTAAGTGTTGTCCCTTGAGTTAGTGGAAGCAGTCTGTGGGGATCCACAGTGCTGGTGATGTTTAGTGTGCTCCATTTCTTGATCTGGAGCTGGTATACAGATACATTCAACTGTGAAAATTCCTCAGGCTGTAAATTTATGATTTGTGTACTTATACGCTATTGTAGTATTTCAACAAAAATGTTTAAAAATTTTTTAAATAGTTTTAATTATATTTTTTGCTGATTATTACTTCTATAGAGAAATAGTATTAATAGTATTAATTTTTGGCAACTTGCTGAACACTTAGTTCTAATGTTTGATTCTACTGAGTTCTGACAGATGATGAAATCATCTTATATATATATTATATCTATATAAGAGTTTTGCAACTTTTCTTCCAATTTTTAAACTTTTTCTTTTCTTGCAAGGTCAGCTAGGATCTCTGTGTATGTGTGTGGGGTACTGCAGACAGAACCCAGGGCTTTCACACTGAGCTACGTCCCAGCTCCCCTCTTTTTTTTTTTTTTTCTTTGAGACAGAGTCTCACTGAGTTGCCGAGTTGGGCTCCTGCTTCAGCCTCCCAGAGTGCTGGGATTACAGGTTTTACCACATTTGCCTTGGCTAGGATCTCCAATACAGTGGATCCTCAAGTTACAAGTGGCCTGACAATGAATAGCCTGGATTACGACCAGAATTTTAGTTTTAATTTATGACCAAAGTCTTGAATTACGACCTGAATGCCGGCTGTTTGTGCTTCCAGATGGACTCAGGTAAAGATTTAATCCGTAGAGCTCTGGAAGGAAGATTACAAAATTCTTTCCTGTGTGGGGTTAACTGAGAAATCCTGGGCCAGTGACTCTCTGAGGACACTGAGATCTGCTCGTGTACAGGAGAGAGGCTTTGAAGGCTATGGAGAGGAGCTGAGTCTTCAATTGACCAACTTGAGTTACAACCAGCCCTCAGGAACAAATTGAGTTTGTAAGCCAGGGTCCACTGTACTAAACAGATGGCATGAGAGTTTAAGTAAACTGTATTAAACAGGAGGCATAATAATAAATATCTTTCATTTGTTTGCTCTTAAAAAGATTATGCATGTAGAGCTTCTCTATTACTATAATGTTTAGTGTAACCTTCTGGAACATATGACTATCCAGTAAAGTAATTCTAAGTTTGCTAAAAGTTGTTTTTTGTTTGCTTTTCGCTACTGGGGTTTGAGCCTCTATACTGAGTACATCCCCAGCCTCTTTAAAATTTTGAGACAGGGTCTTGCTAAGTTGCTTTGAGGAAGGAGGATCTCTTAATTCAAGGCCAGACTGGGCTACATAATGATACTCTGTCTCAAAAAACCAAAAAAAGAAATACAAACCTCAGCCACAGTGCTCCGAATACCATCCACCACTTGCTCAAAATCCACTAAACTGAAGAGTGGCTGCTGCTTTAGCCGATGCAGCTCCGCAGCAAAAGTATCCTCCTGGTTCTTCAAAATGGAGCCTGCAGCAGAGAAAGGCACTGTCACAAGAAGACAAGAGAGCCAGGGCAGGCAAGGCACCCGGAAAGGACAGAAGCTTCCACTTGCTCTGGACCATGAGGGATGAGAAGAGCCCAGCTCACGGCGAAGGACAACCCTACCTTTTCTGGTCAGGGTCACATTTTGGTTCTCAAACATTTGCACGGACTCTCCAACGAAGAGGATTTTTTCAGCAACCCTCACTGGAATGTATGATGGTAAAATCTCTACCCGTAGGGAAAACTGCTTTAGAGATGGTGCCAGCATGTTCTCTTCCTCAATCAGGCGCTAGGAAGGAAATGACTCTCTTCAGAGATTAAGCATGAAGTTAAGGAAAGGAAAATGGGGAAGTACCTGATTATACCCCCAACCCATGATTTCTATTTTTCAGAAACAGGGACTGTAAATCTGAACAGGCACAATTCTTTTTTGTTTGTTTGTTTTTTGAGACAGGGTCTCACTGTGTAGTTGAGACTGACCTGGAACTCACTATGTAGCCCAGGCTGGCCTGGCACTCCGAGATCCTCCTGCCTCAGCCTTCCAAGCACTGGAATCATAGGCATGTGCCACCACACTCAGTTCTGTTTAGATATACATAAAGCTACACTGTTCTCATGAGCCCCAGGCAGAGCTCACTGGACATTTCCTCAAATTCCTTATTTATTTTTTTGGTACCAGGGATTGAACTTAGGACCTTGCACTGTGAGGCAGTTGCAGTATACTGAGCTAAATCCCCAGCCCTACTTTTTTTTTTTTTGAGACAAAGTCTCATATAATTCAGGCTGGCCTTGAACTCACTGCAATCCTCCTGCTTCAGCCTCCCAAGTGCTGGGATTATAGGCATATACTACCACAACTAGCATTTTCTTACATTCACAATGCTCAAAATTCGATCTATCTTTCCCCCTTACACTAGTGCACATTCCCTACCAATACTACATAACTGCTGAAGACAGAAACTTGGGCGTTATCCTTGATTCTTCCCCCTTTACCCATAGCCAACCAGTCACTAAGGCCTGTTGATTCGGCTTCCTAAACTTCTTGATATTCACTCACCACCTTTACTTGAAGGCACTATTATTTTCCACCTAAGTATCTCCACCACTCTCTGAAGTGGCCTACCTGTATCTAATCTTGGGCTTAAAAAGTATGATTCCTTACACAGCATCCAGAGCAACCATAAAGTCTGTTTTACTCTTTCGCCTAAAAGTCTTCAATGACTCCCAGTTCTTTTACATTCAAGTCCACATTTCTTCCTGCTGTTTATAAAGGGATTCCTGCTCGACTCAACAGCCTCATCAACTGCCATCTGTTCCCTCCCCTCTCCCATTTCTCACATATTACCTGGCCACTTCAGTGAATTACTAGTGGTTCCCCAAAGGAGCCACATCTTCTCAGCCTCTGTAACTTTACACATATTATTCCTTCTGCCTAGACATGTCTTGACCTGGTCTCCTAAACTCTCTGCAACCTAGACACACATTCCACTGAGGAGCCTTGTCTGGATACTCTTCTCCAGGAACACTCATGCTTACTGTTTTTCAGAACATGTACTACACTATAATACAAGTGTTTACTTTATTGTAAACAAAACTATAAGATCCTTAAGGACAGAACTTTGTTTTTTGGTACTTGGAATCAAACTCAGGGCTTCATGCTTGCCAGGTAGGTGCTGTACCAATGAGCTACATTCCCAGCCCTGACAAGAACATTTTTCTATGTCTATGTAGTTTGTGATACTTAAAACCATGCCTAGCACATACTAGGCATTCAAATGAAATGTAAGAAGAGAATGGACAGATGGATAGATGGAAGAATATGGACAATTCAGGGCTTTGAGGAGTCCAATCAAAACTACAAACTCATTTAAAAAACTATAGGACTGGGGATTTAGCTCAGTGGCACCATGCCTGCCTTGCAAGCACAAGGTCCCGAGTTCAATCCCCATGCCAAAAAACAAAACAAAACAAAACTACAGGGTAGTTATAGTTTGTAGAGATGAGATTCTTATTTACCCCTTAAATGCATATAATGGAAACAAAATATTCCAAGAGGAATCTCACAATAAATAAATAAAATTATTTATATTATATTTTTCCCCCAATGCTGGGGATGGAACCTTCTGTGTGCTGGGCAACCGCAAGTATTCTACTATTGAGCTACGCTCCCAGCTCCTAACGATTATATTTTCTCACTCAGAGTCTCACACTCGTTAAAACAAAGCTCAGTGTTCACACATAAAGTCTATAGAAGGTGCCAGGTTGTGATGAACAGGAGGAATCAGCAGAAGATGATTTAACTGTAGACACTGCTGACTCCTATGGAGAATGCTGGGCTGCTTGCTGTGCTCTCACCAAGTCTTGGAGCTCTCTCAATTGCTTTCCTGTCAGTCCCCCAATGCCCAGGTCCTCCTCATCCTCTTCTGGCTGAGCACTGATACTGCCAGTAGATGGACCCTGTTTAATAAAGAACTCTTCATACTGGTCCAAGAGAAGTCCATGCAGCATCCAGGCTGAGAGCTGCTTATACATGACCCCATGACACACAGCCAGGACTCTGAGAAGATGGAGAAGCAAGAACTTTAGAAGTCCACTTAGAGCATACTGAACCCCACCGATGCTGCACATTTATTATGGCATTTGCCTTTTAGTGGGTTTATATGTTATCTAGTGAATAGATCTTTATTTAGCTTTTCTGTTACTGCTGCTAATTTTCTATTTTCCTGATATAGCAAACAACATTGCAGTGAACACGTTTGTACATAGTTATTTTCTTCTTTTAAATAATTTTGTTAGGAAAAAATTCCTGAGTGACATTATGGGATTATAAAATATAAATACTTTTAAGGACTATGATGCGAAAACACTGACTATTCCAATACACACATATGAACACAATAAGCAGGATTTGGTATATGTAATGCGAATCCTGCAAGGATAATGAGCCCTAGAAGTTAAAAAGGATGTCCTTGCAGGGACCTGGCAGCTAATTCTGACTTTGCTTCTTTACTTATAACCCTCTCTGCAATGCATGAGCCACTGTGAGGATTACATGGGCTACTCTGCCCACAGGGCTTCTTTAACCTAGTCATAACTCTCCACCAAAAGGAAACTGGAGGTGACCTGAAAATATGACATGTGAGAAGTGAAGTCACTTGAACTACCCCCACCCTAATCTTGAATTAAGCCATGGCATACTTTTCCAGTGCACTTCGAACAGGAGGCAGACCCCCACAGCTGTGTTTGTAGACTGTCTCCAGGATCTGACAGCCATGAATCTGTGGAAAAAACAACCTTGTCAAATTGGATTCTTTTTTAACAGTTCAGTGAATATAAACTCATATTATTCTGTATTCCAAGAGGGGATGATCCAGCAGAGAATGGAGATAAACTGTCTGATAAGATTTCCACATTGTGAAAATTGTAGGGAAAGTGGGAAGGGTAGGGAAAAGCTAATAAGGGGAAAATATATGAGAAAATGAAAAAATGGAAATGAAGTGTTTGTAAAGGGGGAGGGGAGGAGGGGTGAAGGGAGGGTAGGGACAAGGGGAAAAAATGAGAACCAAGACTTATCATGTAAAGGTACAAGATCCCAATAATGAATGTAACTGTACTGTATACCTAAAATGTACCAATAAACTCAATGTGGAAAAAAAAAAAGATTTCCACATTGTGGTTCTCATAGGCAGACCCCTCCCACCAGCACCATCAGAATCACCTCTGGACTCAGGAGGGTGCAAAAGTGGGCAGGGCTCAGAAAGCTAATCAATCCTCTAGGGAGTAACACACAACAAAGTGCATGGGAACCGGTGCATAAAGGGAACCAGAAGCATCTACAATCAGGACTCAAAGCCAAGGAGAGCTTGCTTTTTCTGATTAAGGCCCAATTCAGACCACTGAAAGCACATACTTTCCTCCCATATCCACTGCCTCTATGTCCTTCATGCTTTTTTTTTTTTTTTTTTTTTTTTTTTTTTTGTAACAGGGATCGAACTCAGGACCTTGTGCTTGAGAGGCAGGGGGCAGAACCACTGAGCTAAATCTCTAGCCCAAAGCCCATCTATTTTAAGTAATTAAGTTTTTAATCTGCAGCACTGTGTAGCCATCACCATAATCCAGTTTCGCAACATTCCATCACTCTTAACAGAATCCTGTGCCCATTTCAATCAAACTCATTCTCACACTCAGCCTGTGCTCTTGACCAGCTCATATTTCAGCCCTGTAGAGCCTCAGCACACTAGTTTAGCAGTGTCACAAATTAACTGGTTAACTAGTTATATTCATTAGGGTGAACATTCTCAACAAGCTAAGGTACAGATATACGAGTTTAAAAACATGGTGACTAGAGTCAAACATGTTTAACCTAATTACCTATTTGGTCCAATTATGGACTGATTCAGGAGGCAGATTCTTTTAAAATAAAATCTCGAAGCATTTATGCTTCACAGTTATTAACTATGTCCAGAAAAGACATTCTCTCTAATATTGGGAACTCTAAATTTTCAATACATATTATGAAAGCTTATGGCGAGAATAAAGTATGTGGGTTTTACCTACTGATTTCATAATTCTCAGGAAATAGCACCTTAACCATAAACCTACCACTTCTTTCTTTCTAAAGATTATCTTTCTGCTTTTCCTCAAGACCTTACAGTTCTAGACACTTACTGTAAATTACCTCTACACTTCCATAGAATTTTTTCTTTAAATCCCAGTAACCTTTCCTCTGGCTTCTGAACAAGGATGTGCTCATAGACAGAACAATATCTCATTTTTGCATTCTTGGCACTTAACATGATATATAGGCAGTTATTTTTGAATAAAACAATTAACACTAAAATCTAAAAATTAGGGTTTTCCAAAAGGAATGTAGGGCAACATTAATGATCAATATTTCTTTTTCTGGGTTGGGAATTTAGCTGAGTAGTTCTGTCGCCTGCCTTGCAAGTACAAGGATCCCAGTTCAATCTGCTGTACGAAAAACAAATATATATATTATATATATATACATACACAAGTGTGTGTGTGCATATTTCTTTTTCCTACTGGAATAGAAGGAAAAAAAAGGAAAGTTCTTACCTTTTGAGTTTTAATTTGCTCTACTACAACCATCACAGAGGGAAAAAGGAGCTGGAACTGCAAAGTAAATAATAATCAAGAGTATGCAATTAAATGAAGTCTAAAAAAATAAACTCAGGAAATGATTTTGTTTCTATATAGCCCAGTTTAAGATAAATGGCAATACTTTGAACAGTTAAGATCTATTATCCTAAGGTAATCTGATGAGGGCGTTAGCTACAAACTAGAGGTGGCAGACAGAAGCTGTTTCTATTTCTGAGGCTGGCATAATTGTCAGTACTGATGCCACTAAAAGAGCTTTCGTATGAGACATAAGTTATTAACTTAATTTGGAACTCTAAGTAGTTCTGATGTCACAAAAGGCACACAGTGTAAAACACTGGGCTCTGACATTATAACTTCTCAAAACAGTGCCATAACTTATTTGTTGAGGACCAATCATGCTATGTATAGATCAGCGGGGGCCAGGCCACAGGCCCACACTCCTAAGCCAGTGTTGACTCGCTTCAGAAACAGAGAAGTACACAAAAGCTGCAGACTTCCTGGCTGTGTGGGAAAGCTGTAAGCACAAGCACTCCTGAGGCAAGATGGCATCTGCTAAGGACAACACAAAATGCAAGCTTCTCGTTATGGGGAAGGACCTGGATTTGTTCCCTATGAGATGCTGAACTTGTTCCCCATTTTGCTACCCTAATCTTAATGCAGTCACTGTTCCTGGAAAAGTATACTACCCCCTCCTCTGTGATTCATGCTGGCCAATAAAAGTGGGCCCACCTTGGAGTTTGTCGAGCCTGTTCACTAGAGGCAGATTTATCTTGGTTTCCCTTATACCTTAAATATTGTCTGTCTCCTTTTTTTATTCCCTGTTGTCCTCTCTACAGGTAGCTGAGGGTCTGATCAGCCCCCGAGACTTATTCTGACAATATCAATGGATTCTAAGGCATTTTGTTATTTGGCAGCATACCTGATCTAAGGAGTAATTGACGTGTGATATGGAGAGATGGGGGTCTGCCAAGAACTGCAATTAAAAACAAAATCTGATTAGGAATTCACACAAAATACTTTGAACCAATTTGATCTATGAAAACTAAAAGAGAACCTAAGAATGGGCTTGGTATTAGTTGTAGGCTATAGAAGACTGCTAATTTGTATGTTATTATATTTTAGGTGATTAAAAAGCCCAAGCCAGTGCTCTTCTAAACTCATGAAACTCTTCCATGATCTAAAAGAAATTTTGATTTTTACTTGGGCAATCACAGATGGAACACTGTACCTGCTCTAGTCACACTGGAAATAGCAAAGTCTTACCTACTTGACCTTAGCAAAGAACATTTCAAATTCAAGAGCAGACTCTAATCTGCTGTGCCAGAGGTACTGCTTCTCACGTCTTTTCTTTCTTACCTCTTGTTCCAAATCAAGCAGTGCCTGGCGATAAGGCTGCAAAACTGAATCCAGTCCTGTGCAGAAGGCCCTTAGGTAGATTCCATGTAACCCGCCTTGGCCCTGCTGTGATGGATGGTGATCCTGAAATCAAACAAACAGAAATCAACTTCTTAGCTGAGGTCCTAAACCTGAGCTGACATTACCCCTGGAAGGATAAGGAGGAAGACATTATCTGTTATTAGTAGTATGTTTTAGCTTAAATAATTCCATATCAGGAGCTGGGGATTTAGCTCAGTGGCACCACACCTGCCTCACAAGCACAAGGTCCCCAGTTCCAGCCCTGGTACCAACAACAACAATAATTCCATATCAAAGCAGTGCTTCAGTGAGAAGAAAACTCAAATGTTAAGATAAAGCTTTTCCTCTGATCTTTAATTTTACTTTATGTTACTGGGTACTGAATTTAGGATCTTCACACCTAGCTACATCTCTAAGCCTTCTTTATTTTTTGAGATAGGGTATTGTCACTAAATTGCTCAGGTTGTGCTTAAACTTGCGATCCTCTTGTCTCAGATTCCCAGGCTGTTGGGGGTTACAGGCATGTGCCACAATGCCCAGCTCCGTTAACCTTTTAAAATGTGATATTTCAGTTTTCCAAGCAGTTCCTGATGTTATAGACAGTACTTTATGCCAGTGAAGATTTTTCTATAACTTAATTTGGACCTTATTGTTTCCAACTTAAAACCCTTCAGTGGCTTTCCACTGCCAAAGTAACACGCACATTCTGTGGCCTATCTCCATTTCTCCAAAGTTATCTTTCAGTTTCCAGCTGCACCTCATCTTCAGGCTCCCCAAAGTTCACCAGCTGTGCCTTGCTTCTATCTTGTGTTCCTCTGACTATTCCTGCAGGGCCCACAAAAGCATTTCTCCACAAAGTCTAGTGGATTAACTACTTTACCTTGCTGCTTTAATAACATAGTGCTCAAATTATACTTTTGTTTAGATGTTACCCTCACGAGAGCACAAGCTTCATAAAGTATGGACCATACTTGCCTCATCTTTACATCTCAGCTCTTAGCACAATCCTTTGAACCAGGAAACTATTTCATTGAATAAAAGATGAACTCAAGTCTTCCTAACCTCCTATCTCCTGCCGGACTTAACAGTTCACCAAGAATACAAATTTGGTGGTCAATGTTTGGGGGGCTGAGAGACTCACATCATGGGTTATATCCAAATTAGGTTATCTTTAGGTTATCTTTTAGGAAAGCAGTAAGTGTTTTTTGTGTTTGTAGGATCTTATGAAAGCTTATAGGGAGACGTGTGGGTAACAGCTGACTAAAGGCTACAATGGATGAAAAGTTTTTCTGGCTATGATTGGGCTTGTGTGATTAAGCCCTGGGAGTAGTTGGTTGGACAGGAGAATTCAGCCACAAATGTGGTAGGAGGCTTGGGCTCAGGGGTTAGAAAGCAGGGTACAGTTACAGGACACTGAAAAAGGATACTGGTGGTTCTGGAAGGTAAACACTTACAGATACACTAAGAGCAGCATGGACACAGGTGAAATAGAGACCAGACTGCTTACAACCAGCCAATTTTGTCCTGGTTTCATGTCATTTCAGAAAACTGAACAATTTCATTTATTACAAAATTAAAGAGGAAAGAAGTAAGTTTTTTACTTTTCCAAAATAAAGAGGTACTAGTAGCTGTCTGGCAAGTGCAAGGCCCTAAGTTTGATTCCTGGTACCAAAAAAAAAAAGAAAAAACAAAAACAAAAACGAGGTACTACAGGTATCTAGAATTTGGAAAGGCAGGAATGCACATATCACATAAGTTTTATCAAAAGTCATCAAAATACAGGACAGGCTTTTTCCCCCCTCTTTTACATACAAAAAACTATTAGAGACCTTGCTTTCACTGCAGTATTTCCAGTGATAAGAAATTCACAATTTATTTCATATGGCTCCCAGCAAGCTCACTTAAAGTGTGACAGAAGTTCCTGCGTTCTAAGGAAACACATCCCAGAACAGGGTCCCACCTGTTGCTGCACATGGCCTGTGTACTGTTCAATGAACTCAGTGAAGCGGGTATAGTCTGTGCCAAGCCGGCAGAGTCGATTCAGGACGCTGGTCTCACTGGGGTGGAGAAATGGGAAATCCTGGGACACCTGTAAGAAAAGGGACAATGACAGGAACATGGACTACTAGTTACTGCTCTACATTCTCAGGATACTGCAAATGCTTCACACTATCTACCTTTTCCTATTTTTCTTTCCTTAAGATACCCACTTAAGGTTGGTGAATTCTGGTAGCAAAAGTATTTCTAAACATCTCAATCTAACTGCGTGCTTTTTAAAATAGGTACCTGGGGGCTGGGGATGCACCTCAGTGGCACTGTGCCTGCCTTGTAAACGCAAGGTCCTGAGTTTGATCCTGGCACCAAAATAAATAAATAAATAAATAAATAAATAAATAAATAAATAAATAAATAAATAAATAAATTTTACAAATAGGCACCATATGGTAAAGAATTCAAACAATACAAAATGGTGTGCACTAACAATGAGTCAGTCTCCCCGGCGGCAGCCAAAGTTATCTGTCATCCTCTAAGTCTTCTGGGGACAACCTAGAGATGTGGGTTTCCACTTAGCTACAGTAAAGTCTCATCAGCAATACTGCTCAAAGTGGGGTATGCAGACCCCAAGGTTTTTTTGTTTTTTTGGTACCAGGGATTGAACTGGGGACCTTGCATTCAACCCAAGGGTTTTTCAGACATACTGTCAGGATTTATAAATCCTCTATGAGATTTAAAATTTTGTTTTCATGCTAATAAAAATCTAAGATTGATAGAAACATAATTAAATACATAAAAAACCTTATAACTGGCCATATAATTTATATTTACATTTTGTTGAGGTTTAGATCTACAATGTCCTGTAAAATGCTCATGTGCTCAGAGAATTGGCTTTAGGAAGGTGACTGAATCTTGAGGACTCTAACTTGATCAGTCGGTTAATCTAGAATTTGGGAAGGTAGGAATTCACATATCACATAAGATAAAATCACACAGTCATCAAAATACAGAATTATGAGTTCATAGTCTGATGGCATTATTGGAAAATGATAGAAAAAGGAGGTGGGGGCTCGCTGAAGGAGTGGATCATGGAGGCATAACCCTGGGGGCTGTATCTGGCACCCAGCCTCTTTCCTGGCCTCTGCTCCCTGGCTGCCATAAGATGAACAGCTTTCCTCTGCGAAACCCTTCTATTATAATGGTTCTGCCTCACAACAGGCCTAAAGCCAGAGACCCAGCTGACTGAGGACCGAACACTCTGAAACTGTAAGCCAAAATATACCTTACCTCCTTTCGGCTGTCTCTGTCAGGTATTTGTCAGTGATGAAAAGGTAACACACATTTATATTTTTAATTTAAATGAAGGTCAAAAGATAGCTTAATATGCTATAAAAAAAATTCATAGTAAAGTTGAAAAAAGTGCTGGAAAAATGTATTTTTAACTGACTTCTTAAACATGTGGTAAAGTACACATGACATAATATCTATCATTTTAGCCATTTTTAAACCTAAAGTTCAGTGGCACAGTCACACTGTTGTGCAACTATCACCAACATCCATCTCTAGAACTTTCTCACATACCCCAATTGAAACACTGTACCCATTAAACATTAACTCCTTATTCTCCTCTCTCCTAGCCCTGGCAATACCATGCTACTTCTGTTACTACAAACTTGCCTACATTGGTTACCTCATGGAAGCTGAATCATACAATTTTGTCCTTTTCTGACTGGTTTATTTTACTTGGCATAACATCCTGAAGGTTCATCTATATTGCAATATATGTAAGCATTTCCTTTCTTCACACTCTGTGTATATACTACACTTTATTTATTCACTTATTCCTTAATGAATGCTTCAATTGCTTCTAGCTTCTGACTGTTGTGAATAGACACTTATGAACATGGGTATTCAAATGTCTGTTAAATCCTTAATTTTAGTTCTTCTGGGTACATTCCCAGAAGTGGAATTGCTGGATCATAATGGCAATTCTGTTTAATTTTTTAAGAAACTGCTATACAATTTTTCACAGTGGTGGTACCATTTTGTTTTTCCATCAGCAATGCAGAAGTGCATTCATTTCTCTGCAACCACAGGGACGCTTGATACTTTTTAAATATAGTAGCCATCTTAAATGGATATGAAGTTGCATTTCAGTGGTTTTAATTTGGATTTCTCTAATGCTAGTCATCATCTTTTCATGTTTATTGGGCATTAAAATACCTGTTTTTGGAGACTCAATCATCTTTTAATACCAACTATATCCCAGACAGTATGCTAGCATTCAGACATAAAATAATTAACAAAAGCAGATAAACTCAATTGCCCAATTTTGTTTCAGCAAAACACTGGATCTGTGTTTCTCAATCAATTTTGCTTCTTGTTGGTTGTCATAATGGGTTGGCACTACTGGCATATAGTGGGCAGAGCCACAGATGCCACCTAACATCCTGCTGCGCACGGGACAGCCTCATGAAGACTGACACGGACCAAAGTGCCAACAGTGCCAAAGTTGAGAAATTTTGCGTTATGCTGTAGTATTAATTCAAATTTATTAATTTAGTAGTTGTGTTCACATTTAATTTGTAAAATAAGTTGCTTTTATAGTTAAGAGCAATATGCTTGAGTTTATACATAGCTTCATGTGGACATACAGTATATTCAGTATTACATTTTGTGAACATTGGGAATTCATGACAATTTTTCTCTTTAATCAAATGTGAAAAAAACTGCTCTGTGGAAAGTATGCAATATTGGCTGTTTCTGTCTTTTCTTCCACAAATACCTGAACACCTACTATGGTGGTGTGAAGACCATGCTGTGATCTTTGCCACCTTGGGCAATCTATGTAAGAAAAAGACCATAAATAGGTGACCACAATAAACAATTACTAACTGTATTAGTACTAGGAAGGAAAGAAGTTGCTGTGATAGAGAGTAATGGCAAAAGAGAGAGATACTTAAAGATGTGGTCAGGAAACTTTCTGAGGAAGTAACTTTAAAGCTGAGAACTTAGGAATGAAAAGGAAGAAAATATCTGCTTGAGGCTTCTTTTGTGAGAAAGGAAGGGAAGAGGGAAGATGATTTACCTGTGGCTCTCTCTTCAGCCGCCCCAACTATCTTTATTATAGTCTGTTATCTCTTTTAACTTGAGACAGTCAGGCACCCAAAAATATTTCCTGAACATTTCCTATGTAAATAGCATTGTGTTAAATTTTAGAGGGCAAAGCAATATGCTGATTTAGTCTTCAAAATCTACATACCAAAAGCAACAATTCAAAAAACTCAACCAAGTTCTCAAACCCTAGAGTCGCATACTGCCAGTTAGTTGTGATCAGACAGGCCTAGATTCCTTTCTTTCTTTCTTTTTTTTTAATGAGACAGGTTTTCGTTTTGTAGCCCAGGCTGGCCTTGACCTTGTGACAATCCTCCTGCCTCAGCCTCCCCAAGTACTGGGATTACAGGAGAGTGCCACTGGGCCCAGCTTTAGATTTCTAATCTTGCTGCTGCAAGGCTTAGCTGACATAAAATGATCTGGGCTTCAGATTTGCTCATTTGAAAACCAGCGCTAACAATACCCAAGTTACTAGGTTACAGAGAACATTAAATGACATTGCTTTTTTAGTGTATGTGCTGCACTAGACGACATCACTGAAAAGCAGAATTAGACAAGAATAACTCAAATACTACGGCCAGAAAGAACTGGATTCAAAAACTAACTCTGCCTCAGGTGTTAACATTCTGCGCCAAGATTAATTTGTAAAATGGATAGAGGTGGTTGTGAGGATTGAATGATATTTCACACGTGCAATACTTATCACATATATATTGACATTCACATTTTCATTTACACGCAGGCCTGAGAAATTCTACACCCAGTGCAAAAACTTTAGGGGAAAGGAGCATTGGGGAAAACATTACATGCTCTTGAACTCACTCAACAGAAACCGATGAGGGCTTATGGTGTGTTCAGCGCTGTGTATTTGGACAAGCTTTGAAAACTGAAGCAGAACACAAGTGAAAACACCGGAGAAAGTGTCTCCCTTACTCCCCACCCTCGAAACTGAACCCAGGACTTTTACACTAAGCTAAGCTACATCTCCAACGCTTTTTACTTTGAGACAGGATCTCATTAAATCGCTAAATTCCCCGGGCTGGGCTTGAATCTGCGGCCCTCTGGCCTCAGCCTCCTAGGATGCTGGGATTCCAGGCATGTGCCACTACGCCAGGCTTTCTCCCTCGGTTTTACACCCAGCGACTTCTGCTAAAGCAGCTAGCTCACAGGAGGATCTTCCGGGGTCTGCCACCGTTTCTCATCTCGTCCCGGCCCGCTCGGGTGTCCACGGTCCCCTTTGGCCCCTCGCAGTGCCCTATGGTCACCGGACCCCACCCCGGGGCTCGCTCAGGGTTTCCTCGCTCCACGCCGAGCAGTACCTGCAGGCCACTGCGCTTGTTCCAGGTGAAAATGGACCCCGGGTAGCCGCTCAGAGCCAGGAGCAGTTCGTGGATCATCCCCTCGGCGGACTCGGAGTCCCTAGCTACGTCGCTCACCCTCCCGCACCCCTCCAGCCGGCCGCCGGGGAGCGCCCTTCTTTCTCCGAGTCCAAGAGACTGAAAGCTCCGCTGCAGTTCGCAGGACCCCCAGGGCAAGAGGAGCGCACGCGCGGCAGGGGCGGGGCCGGCACGCGTCCCGGAAATGTGTGGCTTCGGGGGCCCACGCGCCCTCTAGCGTCTAGGAGCTCAGAGAGGGAGGCGCGAGCGTTGCCGTCGCGCATGCGCCTTCGGGGTCCCATGGCGTCCGCTTGCACTTCCGGTTTAGGAACCGGACTGGGCACCTGGAGTACTGGGCTGGGCCGGACCCCGAGTGGGTGAGGCTGGTCAGGGGGAATGCGAGTTGGCTGAGGGGAAGCTCGAGAGGGACGCACGCCCAGGTATGGGCCGAAGTACCTTCACGGCGCTTCAGCCAGGTCCGAGGCCTCTGGAGGGACTGCTGCTGTCCTGCGAATCTGAGTGACCCGGCCAGAGGGCGCCAAGACAAAGAGGCCAGAACGCCTCGGCCACCGCTCCCGAGCCTGCATCCCTGAAGGCCCCGCCACGGCCGCGCTTGCCACGCGCGAGACCCGTTCTGACTGCCCCTCGGGCCCGTCCCTCACGGCTCAGTGTGACTTTCACAAGCTCGGTACCAGGTCTCGCTCCAGGTGCTGGCCAGCTTCTCCCGATGCGCGACGCTGCTTGTCATTAGTACCACACCCTAGCTGAGCGCTCACTCCTGCTGAGAGGGGAAAACACACCTGGAGTTCAACCCTAGAATTCGTGCGGGGCGGGAATCTATAGTTCGGAGCCTGAGGGGCGGGGCGGGCGGAGAGGGCCAAGGGAGATGGGGCGGGGGCTTCTGCCGCGTATCCCGGGCATCCAGCCGGACCGTGGCGCCTTAGGATCCTCTGAGCTCCTGGTGTCCCGCATGGCTCCAACTCACTGTGCAACCCTGATCCGGGGAGCAATGTGCTCAGATTTGGGGAGGGTGGGATAAGAGCAGACAGTACTTTGTCTTCCTGCAGCTTCTTAGGGCTTCCTTGGGTGTGGCCCAGAAATAGAGATTTTGAAAGGTCCTTCTTGCTCATTGTTGACTCGCCTTGAAGATAGTGCTACATCAGGTAGCCCTTGGAGCGTGTCGGGGGTCAGGGCAGCTCCGGCAAGACTTGACATACAAATATATTGATGGTGCCTTCTCTCTCTACCCTAGGAAGCAACTCCCTTTGCAGAGAGAGCTTCATCTGCACTTGATTCTCCAAGGACATGGAAAGATAGGTGTCAGCCCTGGAACCCAGGCCTTTAAGTGGAGCAAAGCTGCTTTCTGCTGTGAATGAATGATGGCCAAACCCACTCTGAGAGAGAATGGCACCAACTCTGAAGTCTTCCGACAGCGCTTCAGGATGTTCCATTACCAGGAGGTGGCTGGGCCCCGGGAGGCTTTCAGTCAACTCTGGGAGCTTTGCTGTGCATGGCTAAGGCCAGAAGTGCGCACCAAGGAGCAGATTGTGGAATTGTTGGTGCTGGAGCAGTTCCTGACCATCTTACCTGGGGAGATCCAGAATTGGGTACAGGATCAATGTCCAGAAAGCGGAGAGGAGGCTGTGACTCTGGTGGAAGATTTAGAGAGAAAGCCTGCAAGACCTGGATGTTCGGTGAGAAGGGAGGGGAGTTTAGAAGTATGAAACTAGGAAGGGGCAAGGTATAAAGTCTCCCTTGTACTTCTGATCTACTGATACTTTTCTGGTCTGAAACAGGGAACTTAAAGGATGTTTTTCAGCCTGAAGTTAGGTGTCTACTATTTTGGTTTTTTTTTCCTTCGGAGTTCCAGCTGCTATAAGCAAGGAATAAGACCTTTCTTTGCTATAACCTTCTCACCCCTGAAACTCTAGCCATGCTCTGATCTCTTTGGGGGTATTAAATTATCTCAGGGATTGTTCCTCATGACCTTGCAGTGACAATAAATGGGGTTGTTTCTAGCTCACAGTCTCTGTGCAGGGGCAGGAAGTGTGCCCGGAGAAGATGACACCCCTGAAATCATCACGAGAGTTATTAAATGTTCAGCAGGAATTAGTGGAACCCCAGCCCAGCGATGGACTCAAGAAAGAGAGGGCAAGCAGCCCAGATCTGGGACTACAGGAGCAGATGAATCCAAAGGAGAATCTCAGACATTTTCAAAGGAGCGGTGAGGAGTAAACTCATGGGAAGAGAGAATGCCATTCTAGGTTGGGAAACAGGGTTGGAAATAGTGAATTGGAAAGGGATTTCAGGGATAAGCGGAAATTGTAGAATATGTGGTGGTTGTTGGGAACCCTCTGAAGACCTGTACTTTAGCCATCTAAAGCCATATAGTAAGTATTCTGATATTTCCTCTTTTGATAAGTGTTAGAGAATGGTTCCCTAGGTTTTGTTTTGTTTTGTTTGAGACAGGGTCATTTTTTGGTTATTGTTGTTTTTTGGTACCAGGGATCGAACTAGGGTCCTTGCGCTTGTGAGGCAGGCGGTGGAACCACTGAGCTAAATCCCCGGCCCGAGACAGGATCTTGGTATGTACTGATTGAAATCACTATGTAACCCAAACTCAAGGTGCTCCTCTGCCTCATCCTCCTAGGTGCTGGGATGACAGGCATGTGCCTGGCTTTGGCTCCCTAGTTTTTATCAGAGCCTAGAACTATTTTATTTCTTCTTATGATGATAATAGGTCATTACCTTACAGAGAGAAATTCTTTTCTATACCAAAGGCACATCTTTCTTTTAGCTCCAAATTATATTTCTCTCTTTAAAATTTTCCCTTAGGGCCACATGTGGTGGTGCATACCTGTAATTCTAGTATTAGGGAGTCTGAGGCAGAAGGATGAGTTTGAGGCCAGCCTGGGCTACTCAAGGCCAGCCTGAACTACATAGAGAGAGCCTGTCTCAAAAAACAAAAAGTTTCCTCCATAATCTCCATTCTTTAGACATAAGTTTTTGTTACTTTCAACTTTGGAATTTAAAAGATTTTCAAATATATTAATTGTGGGGAACTAAATTATACATATTATTCCAGTGAGAGTCTGTTGGTAGAGGCTCAGTAAGAATTTTACTTCAGCATTTTACAGCATCTTTAATATAGCCCAATTTATGATTATGTGGTTATTTATGTTCACCTGGTAACTCTCAGAACTTTTACAGCTTTCCCCCAATGTCTTTGTACCTAGTTGTTTACTCTGGTACTTGATTTTTTTGAACTTGCTTTTCTTCTTTATACTGTTAAACTCCATTTTGTATGTTTTTTTCTTTGATCATTTCATTTAAAACTTGTTAAGGTTGTTTTGAGTTCTGATCTATCATCCAAGGTGAAAGCCTCCTTGACTAGTTTGAGAATGGCCTCTATTTAGTCATCCAGATGAAACTCCTTAATTGAACACGGACTTGCAGAATTAATCTCTCAATCTCACATGCGTGAACTCATAACCTGCAGAGTGCTCGACACTCTGCAGCAAGAAAAGGTACTAACCTCAAAGAGCTTAGACTGTGATTGAGAACACATCAGCAATCTGTAGATATATGCTGAACTGAACTATCATTAACAATGACTTGTTCAACTGTATGAGTACTGCAGGGGTTTGGCAGAGTGGAGATGAGGGAGGGTTGCAAGGAAGATCTCTTAGTACTGGCAAGGACAAATTCTGGAAGGATGAATTTAGTTTGAATAGGAGGAGAAGATTAAAGGAAAAACACAAGAGTAATGAATAAAAGTGTATTGTGTTCTGGAGCAAAGAGCATAACAGGAATGGATAGTGCACACTAGGCACTAATGTTAAGGTTCAGCAGGATAGCATGTGAGCTGAGGAAGCAAGAGCTTGGAGTTCAGTAGGACAGTGGCTGTTGCAGTTATCCCAGAGCATCAGGTGTCTGGACTTGAATGGTGGCAGTAGGAATATAGAGAAAGCATGTACCAAGAGAAACATCTTTAGAATCTGGTGACTGAGTGTGAAGAAAACAGAAGGGTTGAAGACAGTTTCCTCTCCCCTCTTGAAGTCACTGAGTTTTATTTTCTAATTCCAAGTGAAGAAAAATAGATAGGAAGTGACTATTCCCAGCAGTTGACCTGCAGACAAGTGTCTGAAGGTGAGGGAGCAACTTGAAATAGAATTATCTCTTCCTTTCTTGTCGCCCTGTTCTGGAAAATAAAATGTTTTTCATCTTTTGAGGTTTCCTGTATTTTCCCCATTCTTCAACCTACTGAACTTCCTGAAAACATTACCTTAGATAATTTCTGTATAATTTCTTGGATAAAAACAGCAGGACTGGGGCTGGGGATTTAGTTCAGTAGCACCTACCTTGTAAGCACAAGGTCCTAAGTTCGATTCCAGGTTAAAAAAAAAAAAAAAAACCAGAAAGACTGAATTTAGAGATGTTTTATATGATTAGTGAAACCAATGATACTCTTTGTTTGCTTCCTTGCAAGCAGGATTTCCATTTCCTAAATCTGGTGTGATCTCCTCATTGGAGCAAGGTAAGCCATGGACTTCAGATCTGGGCTTCAAGGAGAAAGAAGTCCCAAGAGGCAGCCACACAGGAGATAGACGAGTGCATGCTGACCTGTTGCCATCTAAGAGAGAGAGGAGAAACTGGATGGAACAAGATCCCTGGAGCTTTGAGGATGAGAAGGTAGCTGGTGTACACTGGGGCTATGAAGAAACCAGAACTCTCCTTGCAATTCTTAGCCAGACTGAACTTTATGAGGCTCTCCGAAACTGTCATAGAAACAGCCAAGTATATGGGGCTGTGGCTGAGAGGCTCCGGGAGTATGGCTTCTTCCGGACCCTGGAACAGTGTCGGACAAAGTTTAAAGGTCTTCAAAAGAGCTACAGGAAAGTCAAGAGTGGCCATCCACCTGAGACCTGCCCCTTCTTTGAAGAGATGGAAGCTCTGATGAGTGCTCAGGTCATTGCCCTGCCCAGTAATGGCCTGGAAGAGGCAGCCCCTCACTCTGGTCAGATGGGCAGTGATGCTGGGCATGAAGAACCCCAACAAGCGGGTTGGCAGCATGAGGAGGAAGCAGAAGAGGCTTTGGCTGAGGAGTCTGACAGTGATGAAATGGACCTGGAGGCCACCTCCCAGGACCCTGATAACTCAGCTGCACCTGTCATGTTCCGAAGTCCAAGTGGTAAGAATCTTTTCTTTCTTTGTTTTTCATTGATTTCATTGGTACGTTTTAGGTCTACATGACAATTACATTCATCATTGGCATCTTTTACCTTTACATGACATCTCATTTTTTGCCCATACTCTTGCCCTCCCTTCACTTCCTCTACCCTCCCCTACTTACAAAGACTTTGTTTCCATTTTTTCCTTTTCTCATATTTTTCTTTTCCCTTATTTCCTTTCCCTAACACTAAAAGTGTAAGTAAGATCCAATTTGTATAATTAATAATGTGAAATAGGAAGAAAAGGGCTAACGGTGTAGGGGAAGTGGGATGGGGAGGGAAAAGGGTAAGAAGCTTTTCTTCTTGGGGTTTTGGGATTAGACAGCAATCAGACTGGATGAGGAGTCATGAGGCTATCACTTGCCAGGTTAGCCAGTCAATAGGAGAGAAATGTATTTTTTAATTCCATGTGTATGTCATTCTCTTTTGCTGGAAAATCAGTAAGATAATACAAGGAATAGACTGATATTTGAAAGAAATATAGAAAATTCAAAAGTGTCTTACCCTTTTTTTTGGTATTGGGGATTGCACTTGGGACCTTGCATTTGTGAGGCAGGTGCCAGCACCACTGAGCTAAATCTCAAAGAGTGTCTTTAAAAAGAATCATACTATTTCTTTTTTTGGGGGGGTGGGGGTGTTTTTTGAGACAGGGTCTCACTATGTAGTTGAGACTGACCTGGAACTCACTATGTAGCCCAGGCTGGTCTAGAACTCACAGTGATCCTCCTGCCTCAGCCTCCGGAGTGCTGGGATTACAGGCATGTGCCACCATTGCCCGGCTCATACTATTTCTTTATTGAAATATTTTTCTCAATTATAAAATCATAGCAAGCTGAGAAAAACATGCTAATTTGTTGTCTTTTTTCTTTTTCCCTTTTCATTGCTGACATAAGTATAGGTAAATCATACATGTGGCTCATATTCTAAATGCTATTATTTTTGTTCTTTTCATTTTTTCCACTGCTTTTTCTGTTTTCCAGTGCTTTCCTATTCTTTACTCAGTGAGTGCAGGATAATGGAAAGACAGTAACATTCAACTGGCTCTCAAGAGGAAGACTGTGTGAACCGTTTCCCTCCAGCACTAGCATGTGTCCAGGCCGGGAGACAGTTTGCTCTTACTTCCTTCTTTACTGGGGCTCCCGTCAATCTTTCACCTCATGGATGACATGCATGACTACAAGCCCTTGTTTTGTACCTTTCAAGTCTTTGGTATTGCTGGCCTACTCAATTGAGATCATGGCAAATGAAGAAGGGCCATAACAGGAATTTGGCAGCAGTGTTATTTTGAAAGAGGCTCAAACCCTGGGGTTTTAAGTCATTCTGTGATAAACTGAATTCATAATGAATTCAGTGATCAGAGAAGTTAGGGATGATACACTGTGGCTGACAGCGATTAGTTGTGGGTTTTCTTCTCCTTACTGGTGATTTTTTAGTAAGATTCAGAATTGCATAAAGACTAATAGAAGGATGGGGAAATGCATTTTATACACTTGACTCAGTATATGTAATACACGATTGTTTCATTGATTGGGTGGAAAGGCTTTTCTTCAATAGCAAAATAGAACTTAGAAATAAAATTCTCTGTGTAACTTGCAAAGGATAAAGAAAGGATAGAGAGAAACAAAATATTCTGTAATGAGTTTGTATAGATAGGAGCCTGAGGTTAGGCAATCTTTTTTCTTTTTGATGTTGAAATTGAACTCAAGACCTTGAGCATGCCAAGCACACACTGTTCTACTTAGTAACCTTCCTTCCATCTTCCCTTCTTTCCTACAGCTATATCCTCAGTCCTTTTTATTTTGAGACAAGGTCTTGCTAAGTTCCCACACTGGTCTTGAACTTGAACTCCTCCTCCTTTTGTCCCGAGTTAGGTAGGATTACAGGTGTGAGCCACTACATCTGGCTTTTTTTTCCTGTTTTTGTTTGTTTGCTTGTCACAAGGTCTTGTCAAGTAGGCTGGGATGGCCTTGTATTCACTGGGTAGCCCATGTGGCCTTGAGTTCATGATTCTCCTGCCTTAGTCTCCTGAGTGCTGCTATTATAGGTAGGTGCTCAGTTTTTTTTTTTTTTTT